ACCATGAGGTGAACAGCTCTGCTCCAGCATGCCCTTACTCCATGTTTTGTCTCATCACAGGGCCAGAAACACAAAGCCAGGTCAGGGCAGATTGCCTCAAGTCAAAATAAATCCTTGCTCCCTTATGCCTCTCTCAGGTACTTTGTCAATCATGAAAGTTTGACTAGCACAGCATCCGAGGCTTGCCTCTCCTGGCATTTCTGCCTTTGTAACAGTTTACTGTTGACAGTCAACCAGACTGACCTGCATGCATGACTAATGAGATGCTATGAAAGGGAGAGTGAGTGACTTCCAAAGCTAGGACATAAAAGGCCTTGTAGCTTCTACCTAGCTCTCTTGGATCACTGACACTGGGAAGCCAGCTGCTATGTCATAAGGACACACATTTCTATGTTAATCCATGAGGTGAGCAACTGAGGCTTCTTGCCAACAGCTAAAGCCAAGTTTCCAGGCATGTGAATGCACCCTGTTGGAAATAGATCCTCCTGCAGCCCATATCTGGATTGAAACTTTCTGAGCCGCTCCCCACCCGACCTCTCTCAGCTGCTCCTGAGTTTCTGATTCACAGAAGCCATGGGAGATGTTTGTTATCATAAGCCCCTAAGTCTAAAGAGAATGTGACACAGCAGCAGGTAACTAATACTTCTAAAGCTAATATCTCATCCAAAAGATGGTACTTGTGTTGAGAATGCCACCGGAGAAGTCAACCTCTGGCCATTCCCTCCACAGGCTGTGGGAAAGCAAGGCAACAGCTGATGATGGAAACTGAAGTTCAAATGCAGAGCTGTCAACCTCCACTTTAACAGATTCCTTAAACAGCAGACATATTGTGTCCATGCCACCCTGATCGGCAATCACTCACTACATGTAGCTACATGTAGCCACTGTGCACTTAGGAAGAGGTTTTGCAACTCAAATTAAAAGAGCCACGGTGGCTGGCAGCTACTGTGTTGAAGCAAATCAGATAAGAGTGCATGCTACCAGAAAAGTTGTTGTGAGAACCAGGAACTCACCCAAGGGACTCAGGGAAACAAAATATAGTATGGTCTTTAAAGAGATTTGAGACCCCAATCTATTGCTTCAGAGGGGGCTATGAGGGTTGATTATCCCCCAGTGAAGAGACAATGAGCCACATAACCCTTTGTTAGGCACTGTGATTATGACTCCAGAGGCTCACTACATGGGCTCAAACCCCACCTCTGCCACTAGTAAACTCTGTAGATTTAGACATGTTATTTAACCTCTTAGATGCAGTTTCCGCATTTCTAACAACTGTTTCATACTGCTATGATAATTAATGGGTCAAATATGAAACATCTGAGTAGGTTCCTGTGTCATATGTGATGTGAAGAGCCAGCAGATTGACTACTAAATCGCTCTTGGTGCCTCTCTTCTCATTGAACTGCATGCTGATGCCAAGCCCAGACCACCCAAACTAAGGTTCCACTCTGTGGAGACAAGAGTAGGTTATAGCTTTGCTGAAGGCTTCTAAGACTTGTCACCTGCGTGCAACAACTACAGCAGGGCCTGCAGGGACAAGCAGGTGACATCAAGGAAATAGGTGTAGACTATGTCCAGATAAAGTCAGTTTCCCTTTACCCACTCCTACTCATCATATACATACAAGGCAGTTAACAAAGAATAGTTTTTCTCAATCCCTGAGCTAAGTGAATTATTTGGACTTTTATGAGACTCACCAAGTTTTCTACACAGTGACTCATTTAAGGGTTTTTACTTTTTTGGTTATTATTAGTATTATGTGTGTGCATTCTTCACAGTACACGTGTAGGCAGTTTCTCTCTGTCCTGGCAGCCGTTCCAAAATAACCACAGAGACTTTTATAATATTATATTGGGCTGACAGCTTAGGCTTGTTTATAGCTAGCTCTTGTAACTCATTTCTATTAATCCATGAGCTGCCCCAAGGCTCACTTACCTCATGAACCTACTTGCCATGCTGCTCTGTCTTGAGTCTCATGACTCCCTGACCCACTTTCTTCTCCCCAGCTTTCTCTATGCCCCCAAAATCTTGCCTAGCCATTGGCCAATCAGATTTTCAATAACAATAAGAACATGTCTTCAGGATACAAAAGGGTTATTGCTTTTGTCTAATTCTCCCCTTCTAATTAAAAAAGGTTTAACTTTAACATAGCGAAACAACATGTAACAAAAAGTTATCAAGTAAGAATTACAGTCGCAGGGCGTTGCTAACCCTAACCCTGAGAGTCAAAGCCAGCCTGGTCTACAGATTGAGTTCCAGGACAGGCTCCAAAGCAATAAGAGAAACCCTGTCTCAAAAACCAAAAGAAAAAAGAATTAGTTACAATACCCAGTTCATTTTTTTTTTTTGCTACTTGTATTTGAATTTGAAGATTTTTATAATTTACCTTTTATTCTAACAAAGGAAAACTAAATAGTCTCTAACTCCCTCAAAGACCCCTGAAGGGTGTGAAGTTACTAAATGATAGGGACATCTGGCTGCCTGGACAATCACCCAACATAGGAAAGTTAAAACATTTAGTCAAAAAGGGGAAATATGGAATATTCCTTTACACATCTGAATATGTCACTGAGATTTGTTTAATAAAGAAGCTGACTGGCCTATACCTAGCAGGATGAGGTTAGGGAGGGGAGAACTAGATTTAAGAGGATGTACTGGGAAGAAGAGTGCAGAATCTCCAGTTGAAGAGAGAAGATGAACATGTACTGGGAAGAGGTACCACCACATGGCAGAACATAAAAAGAAATATGGGTTAATTTGAAATGTAAGAGCTAGTTAGTAACAAGCCTAAGTTATTGGCTCAGCACTTATAATAGTCTCTCATGGTTATCTGGCAACTGGCTGGCAAGCCAGAAAAGTCTGCCAACACAGGTGGACCACAGAGGTCACAGGACAACTTACGACTTGGTTCTCTTTCCACGGTGGAGCCCGGGAATCTCACTCAAGTCCTCAGGCTTAATTGACAAGTACTCTTATCCCAGCGCTATCTCAAAGGCCTCAGGGATTCCCATGTTTGTTTTTAAACCTGCTGCTGCTGAATTAAAACATGGAGAGAGATGAGATGTCCTGCCCAGACCATCAGGATACATTTTCTGCTACCTTCCTTCCCTCCTGCTGTTTCACATCTGTCCCTGTGTCTGGGACCTGAAAAGGTTTTACAAGCTTCGAGTTGAACGGGTACACTCCAAAAGGGATGACCTGTTACAGCCTTTAAAATGACACTGGGCATGGTGGAGCTCGACTTCAGTCCCAGCATCAGGGAGGGAGGCAGAGGCAGGTGGATCTCTGAGTTCAAGGCCAGCCTGGTCTACAGAGCGACTTCCAGGACAACCAGGACTACACAGAGAAACCATCTTGGAAAAGCAAAAAATGAAACGACAAGCTGACAATCTAGAAAGTACCAGGTTTTATTATCTTTTTATCAAAACAAGAAATCAGTAACAGACGACAGTGTGAAGAGGGTACAGAAAAGGTGCAGGCACCGAGGCTAGAAGAGGGACCCAGCCAGCTGGGACCCCACTGAGGTGCTGATGGACTTGCAGGCACAGATACGGTTGAGGGAATAGTATCTCCCCAACCCACATACACCCTGGACTTTGTAAGATACTCTGAAGAGGGAGAGCCCCAGGCAACAGGACTCATTTGAGCCTCATCACCCTCCTCCTGGTCCCCTTCCCTTGCCCCGGGAGACAAGCAAAGCTGAGTGGTCACCTGCCAAGCCAGCTTGAGTCTCTTAGCAGTGTGCTCAGTGAATGGTGACTTGAGCACTCAAATTTGTGGCCAGTGCAACTGAGGAATGAATTTCTAACCATGTGGTCCGAACTGACCTGAGTTATCCAGCCACACGAAGTCACTGTCATCTAGAGAAGCCTGGGGAAAGCACCCCCAGAAGCCCCTGCTGCTGGGCCCCCAGCGGAATGCTGGGTGAGGGTTAACTCAACTACTCCAGCTCAACCACAAGAAGGCACCAGGAACAGGGCAAGAGAAGGGGGCAAAGCCTACTCGGCCACACAAAAAATTCACTCACGCAGCCCCCCCACAAACATGAAACTGGTAAAACCATTCTATATCCTAAAAAAATATATTCTTCTATTCTTCTAGAGCCAAGTAAGGATAATATATTACAAGAACATGTACACAAATATCCCACTATCCCCTACATTATATTCTGGAATCTGCTAGAACATTATAGCTACTTCTTAAGACAATGCAACTTCACAAAGGGCCAAGTTCATTAAAAAAAAAAAAAAAAGTGCAGATTACTTTTAAAAAATAGTGGGGGAAGAGTCAAGAAAGGAAGATAAAGAAGCAGCCCTGTCTGAAGCTATAAATAGTAACAAAAATTAATAAAAATGATTATCTCCAACTCTTCTCATTTTCAAAAAACAAAACATAAAAACCAAGACACACAAACTTAGCTGGTGCAATGGAAATGTTCAACACAGATCATTTGCACATTCCCACTCTCTTAGCCCAGACACAGACACCTGCATAAAAGAATGAACCATTTAAAAACAAAAAATTAGTTTTTAGTTTTTATCAATCTTCTACAAATGCACTTCAGCACTTTATCCCATCCTCCCCAGATTAAAAAAACAAAACAAAAAAAAGCAGTTGAGTTCCAAATGTCACTGACAGAATGGCCCAAGGTGTACCACAGAGACTCTGTAGTGCGAGCCATTCATGGGTGGACACATCTCAAGGTGCACAATGTGCAGGGGATTCTAGCTTCTTGCCCCAGCTTCTGACAGACGGACAGGGTATAGAATGTGGAAGGCAGCCAACTTGGCTTCCATAGGCAAGACAGTCAGAGATGAGGCACATTCAGTACAGGCTCTAACCTGGTCCTAGATTCTATTCTGGAAATTTGGAGGAAAAAGAAATGACCCAAACCCAAGCTTGCCTTTAGAAAGAGCAAGCTTAACCCTTTTTTTTTTTTTTGTTTTGGCCAGGGCAACCGAGATACACGCAACCCTCCCCCACTCCCACCCATCCCCAAACCCAAGTGAGGCAGCACAGTAGAAGATGACCTTTCTTCTGACCCTAGAAAGGTGACCAGAGACGAAGACACTGACAAGTCAGTATTAAGGTGCCCTCCCTCTACAAATGCCCACCATCCAATCCTTTGACTCCCCTCCCCATTAAGTTCAAGCAGCTCTCAAGGGAAACTTCACGCGTAGAACTCGTTGGTGGGGGCTTTTTTGTAGATGGGTTTCTTGCCCAAGTCATAACTGCCTTCATCCTTCTTCTTCATGCGGTACACCAGCAGCAGGATCAGGAAAACAGCGAAGAGGATGCCCACCACGCCGCCCACAATCAGAGCTGGAGGAAGAGAGCCAGAGGTGAGGGTGAGGTGCTCCTTGGGACCTTGGGTCCACGTGTTCTTCTACCTAGTCGGTTTTCTCCATCACAATGGCCACTCCACTACCCCAAGGGAGATGATGCCTCGTCAGCTTTGACTCTCATGACTTCCACGACGGGATGACTAAGTAGTTAAGACCAGAGCTAAAATGGACCACAAAGCAAAGCCACTATTGGCCTAGTCCAAAGCTTGGGCTCTTTCTAAACATGACATAGACTCTGCTAACAACAGCTTAGCACTAGGCCAGGAACAAAGGAAAATGGAAGGCTGCAGCAACTCGCATAGACACTTCCAGCCTTACCGTGGGCTAGCAGAGTCTACAAACATGCAGAACACGCTAATGTACACACTGTCACAGTACAAGTAATTACTGAGTGTCATGGTTTGTGTTCCCACGTCTTACGGTTTCCCCGATTTCTCCTTGAACTTTGAACCTCCCCCAGCTACTACTATGTCTGCTGTGGCAAGCTTCTTCGTCTCTCTCATATTTCATACACACTGATGCTCAGCTTCCTGGCCTGTGAACCTCTGGCTCGCCTGTTCCCCACACTGAACTAGGCCTGCACAACAGTTAAGTGTCGCAGTCCAGCTCGTGAGGAGCATCTGGCTGGGGGCACGCAGAGGTAGACTTCTCCATTTGGGCGAGCATCTGTCCGTCACCATGCCAGGTGGCCAGAATAACTCATTCCTGTTTGTCAGGGGTGGGAGTGGCCAACAGAATCCTTCCTGTGGCAGACTGGATCCCCTAATCCTATTTTACCCAGGCTAAGAAGATTAATTTCACACAGACACACATACATACACACAATCTACACAGAATGGAGCAGAGCAGCCAAAAGAATGAAGAATTTCTTAATTAAAAAAAAATTAAATTTAAAAAGAAAGTGCTGCCAGGGTACCAGACGAAGTATAGGCACTATCAATCAGACAAATGCCACCTTCCTGTCTCCAGCTGTCCCCTTCCCTCCAGTAACTCCAGTCCTCCTTCAGGTCCTTGATCTGCGCCGGAAACTAACTCAGAAGGCAACCAACTGTGCTCCAGGTTAAACACCAGGCCCACCAGGCCCTGGCTCCGTGACCTGGAAAGGTTATTTAGGTTTCCAGTCTAGGTTCCATGGGGTACACAGGAACATGACAACCATGTGACAGACAATTACCAGAACTCCCTGGTGCTATGTCAAAGCTACTGGAACTAAGGCCATGTTTTCAGCTGTTGTTACGCCTCTGCTGTCCCTTCAGTGGTGAAGCCATAAGGACTAGAGAAATGGATGCTTTCTAGAAAAGATCTCATGCTGGTGTGACCCTGACATAGAAGAATAAAGGGTATTAATTAGTTCTCCTCTTACTCTGTGAACCAGAGTGGGACCTAAGTCTCCCCACAAATAAGAAAAGGAGCTTGACACAATCGGTGGTTTTCGAAGTTTTCTCGAGAAAATAAGCCTAACTGAACCAATCCGAAACTCCACAGATGTAAATGAAACCTGTCGCCAGCAGGTCTAAAATATACTAAGAGCGAAACTCTATGGCTGAGGGGGGTTATTTCCACAAAGCCTGAAACATCTAAGGCCTAACAGTTTCTAAGGACCAGACGCAAGGCAGTGCTGAGTGACCCAAGCAAGTCACCAGGGTCAACAAGGCCAGTGAGAGCCTGAGCAGGTGAAGGAAGGAGGTAGGAGAAAATAACATAGGCACACAGTTCCTTACACCTTGGCCTCTTCTGGCTCAGCTGATTCCCAGGAAAACAGGAATTACCTAGCATGGGCTAGCTACACCCATGCCTCCTCACCAGCCAGTCCCCCTCAGACTGCCTACTTATCTCTGGAAAGTTTGCTCCAGGAGACAGCATCGTTCCTTTTTACAGAGGAGTAAACCAAGGCACCAAAAAAAAAAAAAAAAAAAAAAAAAAAAAAAAAGCCTTCTGGCCAAGGTCAGAGGGCTATCAAGAGGAACTAAAGTGAAAGAGGACCCAATCTAACTCCCTGGGGCCTCCAGGCTTTCAAGGGAAATTAACCCTTAAATAATTAACTCCGGATGCCACTCAGGGGAAAGGCTCAGAGAAATACCTGAGGGGCTTAAAGAAACAATTCCCCTTCTATTCTTTAGAAGCCTTTGATATGCATCCTCCCCTTAAGGGAGATAAAGCCCTCAGATGCCCCAAGGTGAAGTGAAGGACTGAGGACTACTCTCTTCACCCTGGAGGAACAAGCAGAGTCTTACCTGCCAGGACCTCGGTTCTCTCAAACATGTTGCCATCCTGGGCAGTGCTGGACATGGACACTTTGTTGGATATATCACGATCCACTTCGGAGGGTGAGACCCTTTTGGGAATGACTTCATTCTCCTCTGGCTCCTTGGGTTCTGAGGGGACACGGATGCCAGGCTGTGCCCTCTCAGGAATGTGGTTATTTACAGGCACCTGAAAGGGACAGGGGGAAGAAGGAATACTGAGCATATCTAAAGAGGAAGTGGGTGAAGGGATAACAGGTGGAAATAACATCCACCCCAAATGAAAATGAACGGGGGGGGGGGGGGGGGGGAGAGGAGATGGCAAGCCTTCACGAACTTGAACTTCAGCGGGTATACCCTCAAGTAACCACTACGAGCAATGCAGCAATGCCCATTTGTCTTTCTGGAAGGCAAATTTGCACCTGGGATTCTCTCCTAAGACTGTGTGTGTGTGTGTGTGTGTGTGTGTGTGTGTGATACTTGATGCTTGATATTTACTTTTAGGGCACCACAATTTATTGACAGCTATTTTATCAATGACATGAACAGACCACAACCTGTAAAAATAAACGACGCAGGCAAGCAAGTCCTGAGGACACAGAACTACTTTCTCAATTTGAAATTGGTGCTGTCAGACAGCTGCAAATGCATAAGGAAGCGGGCAGGGGGTGGGGAATGGTGATGGGGGTGTCATTTTCTCCAAGGTGGATGGCCCACCTGCCTGCCCCCAAAAAAGAGTCTTCAACCAGCACTGGGGAGGCAGAGGCAGGAGAACCTCTGTGAGTTTGAGACCAGCCTGGTCTACAAGAGCTAGTTCCAGGACAGGCTCCAAAGCTACACAGAAGCCCTGCCTCAAAGAGTCAAGTGCTGCACAGGGCTGTATTTTCTGCCCCTCTAGGTGGGGGTGGGTGCGCTGTGGAAGAGCAAAAGCCAAAGGGGAGATACAAAGGGTGCACGCAGGACTTACCAAGGGATGAATCACTTCAGGGAAGGTCTTGGTCTCCTCTGTGTCATCTGCAAGGTTAGTGGAATGGCTGTGTGAGCATGAGGTTGGTATCTTGTGTCCCAGGAACAGACTCCTTCAGCTAGTGGAGTCCTTCCCAGCAAACTTCCCAAGTCAGCTTTAGTCATCTATTCTGAAACATGAGACCCGTGGGACACCTGGCTCATTCTCAGCGGTATGCACACTTGGAGTCCACTAAGTGTTCAGGCACTCTTCAAGCTCCAAACCCTACTATGTAACATATAGATCCACAGAATATAACAGTATCTGGGAACTGGTTAGAAATGCAGAATGACCCTGAGTAAATGGGGCACATCTGGAATCCTAGAACACCGGAAGCCGGCACAGGATCAGGAGTCCCAGACCAGCCTGGGCAACACGATCTGGAGAGGAAGTTAGTAGTAGAACACTTGGTGCAAGGTCCTAAACGCTATCTCTATCTGGGAGGACTAATCAGCCTAGGGCCAAATTAACTAGAATTTACATGTGAACACACTCCCCCCTCCCCAGGGAATTAACTTTTGGGAAGGAAGCAGTTCATTATAATACTAAATACTACACATTGCAACATAAAACTTAACTACAGGAGGCAAAGAGCTTGCTTCTCTACTGCGGCTGTGTAGGCAGTCCTAGAGCATAAATGTACATCCCAATGTACACAGCAAATTTTACCTCTAAAAATGCAGGGTTACCCTGTGCTGGGTAAATTCCATCCACAACACTCATTCACAATCCTTCCAACACTTGTTTTACACAGTAAGAAACCAAGGGTCTGGAGGAAAGAAAGGATGGAATTCTGGACTGTGTGACTCCAAAGCTGAAAACTTGGAATCTAACGTACCCTTCCTCGTACCCCTGAACAGGAGAGGGACACCTCTCAGAAGCTATCTGATACAGAGACCAGAAAGCCCATGAAAGCCCAAGCACCTGGTCACAAGCCTGAGAATCCTCCTTGCCTCCATTTTATCTGAAGCAGGGGTGTGTCTTCAGCTCCCCCTCCACATCTCAGCCCACACATCTGCCTCCAGTTCCACCCGGACTTCTAAGCCAGGATTTCTCCCTTCCAAAGGAAGAAAAACACTCTGGGTCTTTCCCCACGCTCCCTCTAGCCTCCACCAGAGAAAGGAGCCTATTGGACAGGTTCAGGCTCGTGCCTGCAAACTCAGAGGAATGAATTCTAAGTTGTTTACAACTCACACTCGAGACCCTGGGTGGGTGGGAAAATGTTACTTTTGTTTCCTTTTTTGAAATGGAGAAGGAAGGCTTCAGGGCAATCTCCACTAAAACACACATCTCTCTCTCTTGGGGCCACAATTCCCAGAAGGCCAGGTCCCCAGCCTGCCCAAGGGCACTCTCATACCCAGATCTCCAGAGCCGGACAGCTCCAAGTCATCTGACTCCTGCTCGAGGCCCCCAGCATCTTCGTCATCTGGGAGGGCTCCAGAGAAGTATCTGCCTTCCAGGAAGTCCTGGTGGTCTATGACCTCAGTCTCTCGAATCTAGGAAAAAAGGTAACATCATCCCACAAACTACACTCAGCCACAAGCAGGATTACAGGACTAGATTGGAAGCCCTGGGGCCTGTCTCCCATCTGCTGGATATTTACCATTCTGGGTTAATAAAAATATTTCAAGTGGTGTGGTAACAAGTTGCCAATATTTGTAGGTATCATTTACTGAGCCACCTGCAATTTCTCCGTTTTTTTTTTTTTTTTGTAGTACTGTTAATTCATTTTATAACTAGAGACGATGGGCACTATAAAGGCTTTAAATCATTCTCTAATTGGTGGCATAAGTGACAGGCAGGATGGAAGAGGCATGCAGGGGCAACCTGACTTCAGGGCCAGAGGTTCCCATGCACACAGGCATGCCCAGGATACTACAGCCTATGACGGCAGCTGATTTCCACATGGACGGGAGTAGGCTACTGGCTCTGGGCCTGCCCAGTCAGGAACACATTCCCCAACTGAGTCAGTCACCCTGGGCTGAGACAGGCTCACACCCCAAGACAGCCACAGGGCACAGCTCAGACCTAGTGACTCAAAGGCACACTCCTGAATTCATCAACTGCTCTGAAGTGTCTGTTCTGCCAGCTTTGTGCAGGACACAAAGACATAGACCCTTGCTCCCTCAGACCATGTCACCCACTCCTCAGAGAGCCAGCAGGCCACCACAGCGTCTAAGGTCAATTCCCACCAAACAACTGTTGAGAGGCATCTAAGAAGGGACCCCCTTCCAAACACCACTTATTCTGCCCCTCCCCCCCACATCTCGTAGTCCCGTAAGTTTTCCGCACCAGGGGCACAGGGTGCACGGTAGTACCCACTGCCCTTCCGCTAGCCTCTGGACTAAGGCTACTGCTCTTGTAAACAACCAGGTCCAAGGGTCACTGTTCCACTCCTAACGAGCCTTTCCTCTGCAGGGGATGAACCTCTAAGAGGGTCAGAATAAAACTAGACAGTCAGGCGACCAGGATGGGGTGGGGGTGCTCTTTTACAGAATTCTGACCATATTCAAACCAGAAACAAGCAGTGACAACCCTAAGGCTACACATAGAATTAGCCACACAAAACTTAGGGTAGAAAGTGGCCGGATCTGTTTCTGACAGCCCCAGGCTGTCCTTCACCCCAAGCTGCAGTGACACACCTGGAATGGTGAGAAAGAATGCTGGTCTATCCCTGCCTGGCAGGAGAGGTCAGGAGAGCAGCTTGGGGGTCAGGCTCCTCCTTCACTCTCTCCCACAAGCTTCCGGGGAGAGGTGGCAGGAGCTGACTGTGCCTGTATCCACCCCCCGTGGTCAGGAAATCAGATTCTGGGAAGGGAGCTCTGAGGAAGTCCGGGAGGCATCCCCCCCCCAGGAAGTCAAGGCAGAGCACTTGGTCCTGTGCGTGGGAGTGGGGAGCCAGCAGGGGTTGAGCCCGGCTTAAGAATGACTTCATGACTCCGGAATCAGGAGTTGTGGGGCTGCTGGTACTGGAATTCCAGCCCAGTACAGGGCCCGTGCCTGTGGCTTTGGTTTGGCAGGACAGCAAGAGGGCTTCTCCGCGGCTGTACAAGTGCCCTCGATGTCAGGCAACTTCCCAAGGCACCCCCCCCCCACACACACACCCTTTGGTACAAATTCCCCAGGGCTCAAAATCCGTAACAGCAAATGCCTCCTCCATTGCTTAGGGTGTGCCAGTCCTTAACACTTACCCACGTAGCTGGGATGACATAGACCCTTTTGGTAGAGGTGGAAACCAAGGATCAGAAAAGCAAATTATTTCTCTAAGGTCACACAAGCAGAAAGTGACCAACAAGTACAGCAGTCAGGCATGAGATTACCTGGGCTTTTAGCCACAGACACGGGAACACATTTGTGCTTAGGGATACCAGCCTGCCCTAGGCTAGACAGGAACACTAAGTGGTGCATGTCTAATCCAGCCAGGGGTTGGGGTAAGGAGAGATGGAGGGAGGAAGGCCGATATTGTTACTTTAGACCACCAAAGCCTGAAAGACTGGTCACTGTGTTAAAGTTCAAACTCCTCAGGGCAAATGCGGAGGTTCTTGGGGGGGGGGGGTTAGGTCTCAGTCATGGAGACCTTCCCTACCCAATCCCACCGCTAGGAAGGAGCCTTGTAATGTTAAGTCACACACCGAACCTCCTTAATTTGTGAAAGTGTTCCAGGGTGTTTCAAAACAACCCAGGAGATGGGAGATAAGCACGTTCGTTCATTGGCTTTCAGTAATTACTTCAACCTCCCATTAGAAAAATGAGGTCCAAGAAAGAAGGCCGTTAACAATCTGACGTTGGTAAAACTGAGGCTGAAACCCAGGTTTATTCCTGGTTCAGACAGCCCCCTTTTAGAACAGCTGGCATCCCCCTATTCCCCTCCCCTTCATTCTGAGACAGTATCACTAGTAGCCTTGGCTGGCCTGGTACTCCTTAGGGAGACCAGGTTGGCCTCTGAATCTCCAGTACTGGGATTAAAGGAGTCTACCCAGCCCCCTACCCCTTCACCTTTATGCTAAATTCCAGAGCAAATAATCATTAGTCTTGAGATCACACAGGGGCTCAGAGCCTGTCCAGGATCAGGCCCTTTGCCCCAGGGATTGAAAAGCTCTTCAGAGATGGTCTTAGAGGAAGAAGAGTTAAAAACCTTCAGCCTCTTCAGCACTTTAGAGAGGCTCTTGGAGCTCAGAGGACATCCTTCCTCTCTTGGTTCCTTTCTGGTTCATCCTCTGCTCACAGTACTCCCAAGTGGACAGACAGCAGCCATCGAGGCCAAGATAGCAAGACAGAACCAAGCCCAATACGTTTTCAGGCAATGGTTTTGTAAGACTGAGAAATTACCAATAGGCTTTCTTTCCTCCCGCACTCTTTTCAAACAAGGTCCATTCAGTAATCTGGGGTGGCTCTGAAAAGCCAGGCCACCCATCAGGCAAACGCAGCCCTGTCCTGACTACAGATGCGGTCTGTTCACCTCAGCTCACCCCAACCCTACCCAGGAACATGTGTTCACATGAGTATGTCCACATGAGCACCCACTATGTATCAACAGGACTCAGATCTGTTTCCAGTCACAAACATACAACAAAAGGCTGTGGGTCTACACTCAAAAGGCTCTTGCTGGCTCTGTAGCTGGCGGATATCTGAACTAATGCTGGCAGCTAGAGTCCCAGACTCTTGCCCAAAGCACCCAGGAAAAAGAACAGAAGTGGCTGACTTTTATTTTATAGGAAGCAACACCTGCCGACAGAAGGACTTTCAGGCCTGAGCCCAACGAACGTCTCATTTTATAACCTCTGAGACAGATTACTATGCCAAGGTCACCCAGGCAGCTAACATTGAAGCAGGGCCTCTCAGCTCCCAGGGTGAGGTGGCTTCCCACCCCTTTCTGGAGCCTTGGCTGTCCCCAGGGTTCTTAGCAAATACACAGGCTGTTGCATGAAGCTAGGAAAAACAAGTAAGAAACAAAGAAACACTGATTCTATCCCAAGTCTCACAATGCTCATCAATCACCCTGGGAAAAGCATGGAGGCTGGGGTGACTTCAGAAGCATCCACTGAGTATCAGGGACCCACTCTGTACAGAGTCTACTCCACAACATGACGAGGTGGTCTACCTGGTTTGCAGGTGAGAAAACAGGTTAACTGAGTCATTCAAGCATCAGAGCTAGAGAGGAGGAACTGGGTTGGGGTCTTTCTCTAGACTACGCCCTAACCACGGCCAGGTTTCTCACCGTCACCCATTCTTCACCTCCAGCCTAAGTGTGGCACACAGGGCTCCAGGGCACCCCTTCCCTTGCCCAGGATTAAATAAAGGTGAAAGTGATATTGCTTAAACAAAGGAGCAGAAACTTGGCTGCAGTGCCAGGGAGGGACTCGGGGTCAGAACTTGGTTAACTGTGAACTAATGGGAGCCTGCTACCTGCCTCCTCCCCAGGGAAGGCAGGGTCAAGGCCACACTTGATCAGGAAGAGACCCCAAGTGTAGCAGTGGAACAAGTACATTTAGGAGCAAAGAGCAACACCCTTTGGGCACAACTGCTGGACTTCTCTGAGCCGTTCTGTAGCCCCACCAACCCCATTTCCTACAGCCGGCAAGAGACACAACCACTTCTATGCGTCTAGGAGTTTATTCTGGCTTTTAAGTCTTCAATTTCCTCTTTTGTAATCGGGGCTGGTAAGCACTTAGCAGAGTGATGAAAATCCACGGAAATGAATCCCGTGACGGGGGGGGGGTTGACATGGTACTAAATACACTAGTTTTCCTTCAGGCTGGGGGGGGGCGGGGGCGGGGGAGATGGATGCTCAACAGGTCAGACTTGCAGAAGAAACTGAAGGACTAGGGAGGCTCTGGCCATCAGATGGGAGATACTTTTGCAAGCCAGAGAGGGGTATGGCATCCAGGCTTCTACTGCTGAGACCAAAGATACTCAACTGAAAAGGCTGGTTTCTTCAGACTCAGGGATGGGTAGAAACCTGCCCAGTGTAAGCTATGAGCACAGTACTGTAAGCAAACAGAGACAGAGGAAATCTCTATTTTTTCCAATAGTGGGAGGCACTAGCCAAAGACATCTGAAATTCCTCTTGTGACCTCAATCCTCTATTTCCTAGCTTGCCTTGAGGGGGAACACCCCCCCCCAATCTAGAAAACAAAAGCAAGTCTCACATCAATCTCTAGTGTCCTAGTACCTGAAAGGGTTAATTAAACAAGTTCTAGGGGAGTGGGGGGTGTGCAGTGAGGGTTCAAATGTCGGCTCTGCCCACTTCAAGGTCAAGTTACTCTGAACACAATCACCCTGTAGAGAGCCAGGCCTGGCACAGTCAGCAGCCAGCTTTTCACCAAGCCCCAGGGCAGCCCATTCCCACAAGAACTCTAGGATCATGGGGTACCAGGCAGGAATGAAGGGGATTGGTCAGGGGTTTCAGGACAAACTCCTCCCAGTACCAATCCAGTACTCTTGTCACTAACTACCTAGGTGGTCCTGGGTGGTGGATTCCCGTTTCTGAGCTTTG